CCCTCGTGTACCTTTGCGCGAAATCCATAACAAACAATCATTTTAATGAGCAGTCTACGAATATTTCAATTACCAAAATTGAAAAATACTTCTTTAGTGACACTAGCGAAAACAATGGGTTCACCACGATCTGATTTGGTTTGGTGTAAATCAATGGCAACTTCATGTTCTTCTCTTAGTGTTAAAACTGTATATATTCTTGATCTACTTTAAGAAAAACATAGAATAAACCGTTATTATGACCTAAGCTACTTACTACAGTGTTTATCAAACATATCACACCTTCATATTTCAAGCTAATTCTTTTATTAGTTGTGCTCTTACTTATACCCAGTTCGTGTACATTATTAACAATACACAAACTGGTTCAAATATATAATGGAAAACACGCATGTACTGTCGTAAACACACATTAATCATCATATATTAGCCAACGTATACCTGCAGTACAGGATGTCATTGTGCAGCGGCTAATTTGGTCGTTTTGATACTTTACTTAAATTGGCCTGAAATTGGTATGAAAAGACCAAAGTCAAGAGCGCTAAAACGAAGATGAGAGAATTGCGTGAACACCCGACTTTCATAGTCATACCACGTGCGGTATCCTACAATCCTTAGATAATGTACTTCAACTATTATTCTGTATGTAAATTTCTAATCATCCTAATCCCGCTTTATACAAGTTTCTGTAACACCTGTTTCAATTGGCGAACTTCGAAGGAAGCCCATGAAGAAACGCATTGGATTTAATATATACTTACGACATGTAGTCAACACGGATATGATCACCTGCATGAAAATATATAACAACAATAACAACTAAATACACTTTATTTAATGATATGCTCTAGACTAATTATGGTGAAACCATCACGAACCACTATATTGCGATGAAATACCATCCATATACAAATTGCATATCAGTAAATGATGGCCTCATTAAGAAAACATTTAGCCACATGTCCAAGTCAACATGTCACTTCCTCTGTTGGAAATAAGTGAAAAAAAAGGGGGGAGGGTTCAGGCTTTTGTGGCTTTGGGTTGCTTAGACTGGCCTTCGGAAGTCGTCATTCCTGCACGGTTGGTGGACCTCGGAAATAATTGGAGGAAACACTGAACTTAATGCGTTGCGCAAAGGTTTTCTGCACTAGAAATTACACCAAAAGTTCATAACCAGGGTCATTCCATCGGTAGTGGAAGAAGGGGCTTTATAGCTATAACTCGTCCATATATAGATGAGTCGGTTAGAATATCAATTAATCAATTTGAAAATAAAAATTTGAGTTTACTTATACGATATATTCCTCTTAATGTTCAGGCTTAATTTTCTACTACATAACTTTGGACCAATGTGTTTATGCTTAAACGTTTAAGTTACTTTGTCAGACTGATGACTACGTGATTTAATACTACGTGTTTCCTTTCTCTGTAAATTCAAAAGAAATCCGGTTGAAAACCCAATACAGTTACACAAGTCCAAACAATTATGACGTAGATGTTCAGTTTACAGCCTCTGCCCATTTAACTTAGTACAAGTGCTTACGTCACTGGTGATGGTTACTTTTTGAAATTTCGAACCATGTTTTTTCAATGATATTTTTTTTATTGGTGCTAATGCATTACAACAATTATGTTGGAAATGACCTGGCCGCTATTCTGAAAGGTTAGTTTGTCACTGGCGCTATCACACCCGTGATACTTGCTGTATTACCCTTAACGTTGTCTAGTGACTTCTATAGGTGTAATATGTGCTAGATTGTTTAAAGAAGGAAAAAAAAACAGCGGCAAAGACCATTCGAACATAGATATACAAAGTTTTATTCTTCATATTTTGCGAATGAGCGTCAATATATAACCAGCGAACATTGAACGAGAAAAGAATTCCTATAAAGCTTGAATACTTTCATCCTATGGTAATAACAGTCCTGTAAAGTTTTGAACCTAAAAAACAAACGTACTATAAAATCTCTGAAATCACAACCATCTACGTCTCTTCATATATTCGTTATTTATCATACATATCTTTTTATATATATATAATACAGGACGTGTTTGTCCCACTGTACAATTTATCATACTCATAAAGTAAGTATTGGCTCCAATTTTTGCAAGCTCTACACTCTTGAAATACTAGCCGTCCAACTATTTGTTCACAGGTTGTACATATATATATACCAGGTGTTTCAAAAGTTCAGACGAAATTGTTCAGAAAACTGATGGACACAACGTTGTTAAACTGTGTGTAGACCAAGTTCATCATCCGGAAGACAACGTACACAGTCGTGTGGTTTGTTATAATGACATCATGGTCACACTGCTTGGTATCTATGGCAATAAAACCCAACGTTCAACATCAGAGTCAAGCAGTTTTGAACAAGTCACTGAGTCATTTGGACAGTGGACATTTTGAAACTCCTGGTATGCGTATATACATACATACATATTAAAGTAACACAGCTAACACTACGAAGTTGTTGAGTGTATATTTATCAGCTTAAAGAAAAGAAATACAATTTACTATACACAGTTCTGTAGTAATAATATCGTGACAGACTTGAAAACATCGATGAAACAGAATTTCTCATGTTATCTATTATCATGGATGTTGTCAAACTAAAAAGCTGCATAACAACAACAAAAAACATCATGCTGAAATTAGTAATTGCATTGATTTTTGTTGTTATTATTAATAACGAAAAACGCGTGTCAAAGCATATATCAAAACATAATATAACAATGTTTCAATTAAACTCACATTTATACGCACTTTATCAAACCTCACAGCCACCAATAATTTATTTCAACGTTTCACTTACAGATCTATCGTTTCAAAGTTTGCTATCAAGCTTGATACCTTTTCAGTAGTACCTACTTCGAGACGACTAGTGATTGAGGTTAATCTTGATGCTAAAAAAAGAGAGACCTCTGTAGAGAGTAAATATTTAAAAACTGTATTAGTTGTACTACGAAGATAACTTTACTAAAACGTACAATTAATACACAAATAAATGAAAAATAAAGAAATCATCCAGCAAAACTACCTTCGGACAACACAGAGGTCACAGTACAAAAGCATGAGTTTGTTACAGTTAATAAAACTTCTAGTTAACATCAGAGTTATATTTTAAAGTTTGGTATTGTAATAATTGCATCTTCCTCACAAGTCTAAAAGTGTGGTAACAGTCTTATTCTGAACTTATGGGTTATTGATTCAAAATATAAATTGCTAACCTATTACTGAACCAGTGGAATAACTAGGCCTGAAAGGGCCTTGGGGCAAACATTTCTGTTGCCCCCCTCAAACTTTTCCTTGTTTCCCCCTCAATTCCAATTTTGAGGGGCACCTGGTAGGCCTAAACCAGATGTCTCACCTATCGCTATTCCACTGCACTAATCCTTTTTCAACATGTGGGTCACTCGCTAAAAGATAAGTTTGGTATAACGTCAGAAATCCTTCTTCTTAACATGTGGGTCATTGATTCAAAACCTGTTTTGGTAAACTGTTAGCATCTCGTTTGTTAACATGCGAGTCACTCGTTAACTGGTTAGTTTTAAATAAATAATGATAGTGTAGTCATGAAAGAATTATTAACTTACAGATTTATTTTCTCAATTATTCACTTGTGCGAGATTAAAAATACATCTGATTAATGACCACTACTGACTGTGATGTTACTGTTCATGCAAATATGAAAAACCAGTGTACAATAACCATTTCTAAATACTGATAGTCTGCTTAGCTAATGTATTGCTTTTCTCCTTCCATGTAATAATTTTTATACTTAACACCATTAATTAAAATGGTAATAAATTCTTTTCCAACTCGTAAATATTTATCGAAGTGAAACTAACAGAGAATAGTCACGTGATTTATTGAAGTTAACGTTAGTCACGAAAACAACATTAATTTACTGATGTTTGGATCGACCAGATCAATATGACTACCAAATGAAAAATGTGATTCAATCTTTACATACAGAGAAATTATTCTGCGGCTAAAATTAACCCGACCACGTAGGTGAGTCTTAAATTATCAAGAAACCTTTTCATCATCATAATTGATTGGAAAATTACAGCTAATCATTTATTTTGACAAATATAAATGTTTCAGTTTTTCTTCAATCTCCTAAGACGTCTCAGCTTCCAATTGGAACACACATGAAATAATATTGTCCTAACTTCCTTTTGGAATACACATGAAATAACATTGTCCTAGTTCCTTTTGGAATACACATGAAATAATATTGTTATAGCTTCCTTTTGGAATACACATGAAATAACATTGTCCTAGTTCCTTTTGGAATACACATGAAATAACATTGTCCTAGCTTCCTTTTGGAATACACATGAAATAACATTGTCCTAGTTCCTTTTGGAATACACATGAAATAAAATTATCCGTTTCCATTTGGTTTACACGAGCAACAATATTATCTCAGGTTTCTTCAGGAATAGACATCAAACATCGTTATCTTATCCTCATTCGGAATACACAAGAAACAACATTATCTCAATATCTTTTCAAAATACACATTGAAATAACGCTATTTGAGTTTCCTTTTGGTTTATATGCGCAACATCATCATCTGTTTCCTTTTGGAATACACATAAAACAACATTATTTCAAATTCCTTCTTGAATACACGTGAAACAAAACCTGTAAAAGATTGTCCCAAAAACAACTACAGAACTTGATACATCAAAACAATAGTATTAAAATTCGAATAGATAAACTCTTCTTCCTCTATGCTATACGTTATTAACTCACGCCTCGAAATCTGTAGACGCAATTATATGTTTAGTGGGCAAAGACAATTTACAACACAAACTTCATACATTTCAATACTTTCTGCAAAAGCAACATGCATTTAGAGACCAACTTGGATGTGTAATTTTATCTTCTTGAACTATTCAACTTCACTCTAGAACCCACATTAAATATAGCACAACCAACCAACCACTGATGTCATATTACTTTATTAACATAACTTGATACTCTATAAAGTTTATCAATCACATACCTATAAATTAATTTACACTTTGTGTTACAAGATAAAGTGTTATTTCAACGTGCCTTCTTTGGTTTCCAAGATCAATATATCGTTAATTTAAAGAATATACACATGCTAACCCAGTGATCAATATATATATATATGCATACACACATATACACACATCTGAATGATACACTTAACTATTTTTTCATGTTATAATACGACATCTCTAAATAAATTTTTATATAAAAATCAAATTTAAAATCTAGATTATTTTCTGAAAGAATAAGTTTGGCATAACTATACGTTAAAAATAGGCCAAATTTAATAAACGGTTACAATACTGGTTAAACTCAAATGAATTTTACAAGACTAGTTAGACTCAACAGAAGTTCACAAAACAGGTTAAAGTCAGTAGAATGTTACAGTACTGGTTGAAGCCAATACAATAAGGTCAACATTACATTACAAAGCAGAAATTTAAAATGCTGATAAGTTTTGTCGTTTAAAAAATGGTTAAATTTAACTGAATATTAAAATTCTGGTTAGGTTGTTTTTTAAGATTATGTGAATGATTAAACCTAGTTGATTGGAGACTTCTATGGACTGCATAAACCTTAGAAGTCTCCAAGTAAGTACAGTTTTTTTTTCTTTTTTTGTCTGTTACACAGGATAGCGTCTAGTTGAAAATTACAAGACACGCAAGTTCAGTAAAACTGTGCAAAACCGTGTTAAGTAATAGTTAAATACTGATGTATTTTAGACGTGTTTCTAAAATACACTAAAACATTAGCGTAACTGCAGTGGGGCCGAATGAGGCTAGTCGATCCCCCTCACTCCAGACTTGGGTCATGCAATTTGGGCAAATCCGGAGAAATTTTGTTTAGGTGGGGGCTTTGGGTAGCAATTTATACACGTATTGTCGTTAGGCTTAACCGCTTGATCCTAATAAACGCAGTCCTTCCATTTCTATGAGGTCGGTTTGTCCATAAAACTTAACCAGACTAGACAGGAAGTTACGCTTAGCAATGTCAAGTAATTGCAAATTTCGACCTTTGAAGGTATTTGTACTTTCACCCCAGTGGCAAAATTTGTCTGGCTACGCCAAGGCGTTACGTTAAACACTGTTCTACTATAGATAATTGGTTGTACTTATATAATATTTCCGTTAACCAAAATAAAAAAAACAAAAAAAAAACGCCACAATTGTCCACACAAGTTAACAGGTTTTCTGTTCACTAGAACAAAAATACAGTGTTAAAATGTTTAAGTAACCAGTTTTACGTACAAGTAGTTCCCTTCACCAGTTTGCTAATTAGGATCACTGAAGAATACAGTTATTTTCATTCGCAAAACGTCCATCCGCGTGACCAATTGAAAATATCACAACTATCATTTACGTTCCGTGATAAGTCAGACGTTTTAAACGTCTGTTGATTTTAATTTCACTAAACGAACCTATCAGTTTAGTGACCTATGACATTTATAATAGCTTTATTACTATTATTGCTAAGTTATACTCTTTCACGTCTTTCCCCACGTACATGCTAAGCCTTACAGTCCATTTCTACCAATAAAACAGGCTGTTGACATGAAAATATGGGTTTTTTATTGGCTTTCTGCGATATTTCCGTGGCAAACAACCTATTTCTCAACCTGAATCACTCATAAAATCACAACATTATAGGGATCAAATATGTTTCTTATGTTTTTTTTTCCAAAGAATATTTACCAATTTATCAGGCTATTGTTATAAGTTTTGTTTACTGTTACAATAAAGATCTCTATCCTCTTCTACTACAAACTCATGTTTTTAACATACTTGTATGAAAACCTAAAAATATATACACGTGTGATACGGGTTGGTTGACAAAATGACAGTTTTTAAAGGGTTTCAGATCACTTTCACAATAAAAAAAAACAAACTAGGACCACTTTCAAAATTTTGGCTTTTATAGGGTCACTCAATTTGTTTGTGATGTCTGTTTCAAATAGGATACAGTTAGCTTAAAAAACAAACTTAAACTCGAGTACGTTCTGGAAGCATGCACACATAAAGAGCGATGTAATAATTAAATCAAAGTTCCCTGGTGGGACAACGTAACTTCACAGACTTACAACGCTAAAACCCAGGGTTCGGTTCCCCCTTCGTGGAATCAACAGATCACTGTGGCTTTGTTTAAAAACAAACTCGCTTTATACAAAAAATACACCGTTTTCTTTGTCCTCATTTGGTATTTATAAACAAGCAAAACCTTTTAGGGCAATCCCTAAAACTGGTCAGTTTTTACCATACTTTTTGTTTTTATGTCTTAGATTAATTAGTATGAAGTGAAGAAATGTAATTTATAACGTAACAATGGAACTAGTACGCGTTTTATAAGTTCCTAAAACTAACATGGTGTATGTATTGATAATCATCTAACACTGACATATAGAAAACAAAAAAACTCTTTTGATTGGAAATATTATTTCTCATTATTATTATGCGAGTCTTTGTAGAGCAATACTTTAGAGGGCGATGATAATTATCTTAACAGTTGGACAATTACTGTCTAATATTAAATATCACAGAGAAGAACACTAAAAAATAATACAGATTTAGGACTAGTTCATAGAATATACAAGTATATAACTTAAATATATATAAGTCTGTATATGGCAATGAAAATTTCACAAGCAAACGTCTTCTTTATTCTGAATATGATCTATATATATATATACGAGAAAATCATGTTTTTATCATCTTTGAATTGTCAATACTTGTTCTTCGATCTTCGCTAAAACGACAGAAAACACTGGTTTAGATATGGTTAGGAACGTTTCCTTCTTAATACCCCACATATTAATCTTCTAAAACAACACTAGATGGTCCATATTAATAGAACAGCGTACACTGGTTGGTAGATATGGTTAGGAACGTTTCCTTCTTGATACCCCACATATTGATCTCCTAAGACAACACTAGATGGTCCATATTAACAGAACAGCGTACACTGGTTGTTAGATATGGTTAAGAACGTTTCCTTCTTGATACCCCACATATTAATCTTCTATAACTACAATAGATGGTCCATATTAATAGGACAGTGTACACTGGTTGTTAGATATGGTTAGGAACGTTTCCTTCTTGATACCCCACATATTAATCTTCTATAACTACAATAGATGGTCCATATTAATAGGACAGTGTACACTGGTTGTTAGATATGGTTAGGAACGTTTCCTTCTTGATACCCCACATATTGATCTTCTAAGACAACACTAGATGGTCCATATTAACAGAACAGCGTACACTGGTTGTAGATATGGTTAAGAACGTTTCCTTCTTGATACCCCACATATTAATCTTCTATAACTACAATAGATGGTCCATATTAATAGAACAGTGTACACTGGTTGGTAGATATTGTTAAGAACGTTTCCTTCTTGATACCTCACATATTAATCTTCTATAACTACAATAGATGGTCCATATTAATAGAACAGCGTAC